GCCAAACGTGAATTTAACCAAATTAAAAAATACTACACAGAACGGGTTTTTTTGGCCCAGTACTCCAAGCGGATAGATTATTTGGGGTATTGGGCAACACCATAGTTTATTTAGGAGAATACAATATTTTCTACAGTACACCCCAAACTCATCACCTCGAGGTGAGGAGTTTGCTCGAATATTATTTTTAATTGGTCCTCGCGTAGAGGGTTCCACATGGGCTATTATTTATTTTCCTTAGAATGTCTCGTCACTTCGAGGTGACGAGTCCAATAAAAAATACTTTTCTTAAAAAATTTAATTTTTTTTATAGATTTTGTAAAAAATTGGGTAAACTCGTCACATCGAGGTAACGAGTTCTTTCAAATTCAAAAATACTAGCCTTCTTTTAGCCATTGGTCAATGAGTAGACAGGCAACAACGGTCACTTGAAACTCGTCACCTCGAGGTGACGAGTTTGACAAGGTAAAATTAAAAATAAAAGAATTAAAATTAAAAGAAAAATGAATTTATCATTTTACAAAATACAAAGTGAATAAATAATTGCAAGAAATAAATTTTTACATGAAAATTAAAAAAAATCTACATCTTCTAAGTTCTTGACGATGCTGAGGAGTTGTCGAATGATAATGTCACGGGACTTGTCGAGTTCACCAGGGTCTTAGGCCTTGGTCGTCGTCGTCATCTTGTCGAGATGGTATACTTAACACAGTCTGCGATCCGTCTTCGAAATGAGGTGATGGATTTATGACATTTGATGCCATCATTGTTATATCTGCTTCGACTTGGCTTTGGTGACCATATAGGATATGTTCCCACTCACCCACAATCGCATGTTCTGTGGAAGATCCTTGAGTGTATTGTGATGTATCCTTTGAACCTCCAACCCAATTCGATCGAGTCTCGACTGAAGTATGAATTGGAGGATAGAAACTAAAACTTGCCTGGAATGCATAATAGTACTCTTCAGCGGCAGATGCTGAAGCGGAAGCAGAAGATGACGATTCTTTCTTCTTGGAATTAGACTTCGACTTGGCGCATGTGGCCTGGTGATTTTTCCATTCTCCCCTTTTTTCGGTATCATCAGATATGATTTCTCATTTGCTTCATAATTACAAAGATAGGGAGAATAGTCGAAATCGAGGTCCAGCGGTGTGATGTCCTGACGTAGGGGGAGTGATTGGTCACACTGATTCCATTGCTCGATGTAGAAAGCGTGCCTCACCAGCCAATTTTTCTCATGTTTCCCACGCGTATCAATTGTATGAAGCGCGTCTATTTGAACCATAAGCATAGGGATCTACTGGCGCGATGCAAACCGTCACATCAAACCACAACGACGTCACGACACACCACAAGTGGGACCCGTAAAAAATCCTGACGACAATAACTAGTTGATCTCCTCGTCGACATACGGAAGTCGAGAGAACTGTAAATATTAAATTCCAAAGTTAGTATATATAAAGTTCAAAAATTTCAAAAAAAAAATCATTGTCATACTGTATGTCGATCGACGATGTTGATCCTTATCCGTATGTCTTGTGTAGTGGCACCCGCCAAATTCGTCTTAGACATTTTATAACATCATCTAAAATATTTAAAAATAAAAATACTATAAACAAATAAAAAATAATTAATTTTATGGAATTCAAAAAAAAGTTTAAATAAATAAAGTTAAACAATTCCTTGCAACCAGCGAAAACTCGACTGAGGCTGTTGTAATTGGCTACATCGAGTTTTCGACCCGTTTGGACAAGTGCGGCCTTGCAAAGCTCCCGTAAAGAAAGACCAAAATCGCCGAGCCCCAACTGGTATTGCGGCACACAACGAAGTCTTCCAAAAATTGCAGATACTGAGTGTGCGCCGGATTACCGAATTTTTAGAATTCTCAAATTTTCAGAATGAAAAAAAAAGGAAAAACAAAACCTAAATAACTCCTCGATACTACACAAATCGCCCCAAGCCACAGTCCACAAATGTGCAAAAGATCGCCAGAAACCCTGTATAAATCTACAATTAACAAACAAACAGGTGATCCACATCATCAACAACCGATTCACACCAACAACAAGTATCCACTCCTCCCGCCAATCAGCATTAGTTTTATCCCTTCATTATGTCTTATTTGTGTACAGGGCCTACGTCGATACCACTAACAGGAATATTTACTTATGGAGTTTTCATTATGTCTTATACCTGCATGTAGAACACTTTGCCACTTTTGTCAATCCTACTCATGACTGATTGCATATCTTCTTCGAGATCTTCCACATCATCATTATCAGGACCAACGACACGGATGCTAGTGCCAGCAACAACATGATTAATGCCCTGTATATGATATAACAAGAGATTAACTGATACTAATTTATTTATGCAATTATCAGATGTAATAGAGAAGCAAATGTATTTCTAATTTCCAATCACCTGAGACCATGCGCCGGATTGATCCCCTTCTTGTTGTTTCTGCATCTGATATAACAAGAGATTAACTAATAATTTATTTGTGCAGTTATCAGATGTGATAGAGAAGCAAATGTATTTCTAAGTTCCAATCACCTGACCCTGTGCCGCTTTGGTCTCCTTGTGCTTGTTTCTGTAGCTGAATGGTGATGGGGTTCAATAGTATTAGCATCTCCTTGAGAATCAAAATTGAGGTTGGATTCATCACATCTCATAACATCAGTAATGGTGAAACTCTTTGCATCCACGTAAATTACATGAACCCCACATTTCTTCACCTTGATATGTTTTTCTTCATTCTTAATGAATGAGAGATGTTTGATGTAGAATTGAAACGATGCCTCCTCATAATTCTGGTCTTCTTTAACCATATCCTTACCACATAGAATGAAAACATGATCACTCTTGCTCTTATGAATCGTCCAAGTAATTGACCTGAAAAATAATTCACTTTTGAACTTTTTAAAACCACCGTCGCCATCATTACCACTGGCGGCTAAAGGTTGATATTCATAGATAAACTTAAGATTTCCAATGCGATCGCAGTCGGTGAGATCGACCACAAGACATATAGCAAAAACTAATAATCTTCTCCCACTACTCCCCCTTTTGGTAATCTTCAAACTTAATGAAGAATTCATGCTTTGATACTCAAATCTATCCACTGAAATTTTGTTTCCCGGAAAACAATAAAACAAATTTGGTTCGGGATCAATCGAGAACTCATGATCATATCGTGATGTCCATTTCTCCACTAGGAATTGAATTTGAAGCATGGCATTTGCCTCGATGTTATCAACTGAATCTTGATTCAAGCTGAAGCAATTAGAGAATATCATTGTGTAGTCTCTTTCACCGTCAAAAGAATGGGAATTTCGATCAGTGAAGGATACACTTTCTAATGATATGCAACCATGAGTATCCAAGTACTTGAGGTTTGATGGAGGAGAGTAATTTGAGGCTCTTGCAATCAGTCATTTTCAACCGTTGAAGATTATTTGAAGGCTCTGAAGAAAAGGACACTTCTAAAATTTGAGTTTCAGATAAGTCTAAGAAATATACCTTTCTTGGAGTTTTTGGAAATTTGACAATTGGAAGACATCCCAAATACAATATTTGAAGTCTGTCCAGATGCTCAATTGATTCAGGCACTTCTTCTATTTTAGTGAACGATAAATTTAAGTGATTCAACATATTTGGGAGTTCAGGAAGTTGGACCAAACTTCTACACAGCTTATAGTCAAGGCTTTCGAGTTTGATGGCTCCTAATAGATTAGGGATCTTCCTTAACTTCACGCATAAAGAAACATCAATTTTCCTTAAATTAACAAGATCCTGTACAAACAACATATAAAATAATTGTATTACTTGTAAGAATTATCTATTTACTTTAGTCGCATAACATATTTACTTGTAAGCATTAGATTAGGGATCTTCATAGATGAAGGCAGCATAAAAGCATATACCTGAAAATCTTCATTCCAAAGTTGTTCCATATTGCCCCCTGATAAGTTCAACAATACAAAATTCTTTGGATTATAAGTTAGCGATAAAGATTTGAAGGGGTAATACTCCCACTGAAGACACTTTAACTCATTTGAAAGATATACAATATCGATATTGATATCTCTATTTGTAAGTGATTTCTGAGCCCAACTCGATAGAAATTCAGGGACATCAAATTTGATATATCTAAGATTAGGCATGCTCTCAAAACATGTAGAACTCAACTTTAGGTTATCACTATGAGACATGTCGAACTTTATTCCTTCAATTCGGTCGCTTCCCTGATATAAAAAACAATTTACCAAAGTATTAGTATAAAAAAGATTACATGGATGCTAGTTAAATCATAAATAAAATGTAATTATATTAGGAAATACTTACACTAATTGGACATATCATTAAACATGTTTCTTTTTATTGCCTTTTTTATATAAAAGCAGTGCATTAGATATATAACTAACCCATAAAACACTAGAGCAGAACCTATGCTATATCCTAAAACATATATTTTACATAATATCAAGTGTGTGTGCGTGTGTGTGTATATATAGTGTGATACTGAACCATAGGACATCATACGAAAGGGCGAAATAAGTATAAATATAAATAACTCTTACTTTATTATTGTTGAGCAATTGATACACGTCTTTAGGATTCCACAGCCTTTTACGCTCTTTAGGGTATTTAGATTCTTGATCAACAATATCTTTACCCATTTCTTCAAGCATATCATGTATAGACATCCGCCTGCAAGAATTGATGTCAAATAGGCATTTGTCGAGCAAGCTGCTTATTCCACTCACATCACCTTTATACACGCAACTTAGAATTTTTTATACTTTTTCTTTTGATTCCCCTTTAAAGAAGCATACTACGTCGAGAAATATATCCTTCTGTAGTTTATCCAACCCATCAAAGCTACTCTTCAAAATGTGTGAAATTTTTGGTTTATCAAACTTGTTTAATTTTTCCACTCTTCTATAGATTTTGAATATAGCTTACCACCCAAAATCTTAAGAGCAAGTGGATTGCTATCTGCGTACTCAACAAACTTGTTCGACAAATCTAGGAAATGAGCAGTCGGATTCAATTGCTTAAATGCACAAGTAGAAAAAAGTTGAAGAGAATACTTCTCATTTAACTTCTCCACCTTATGTATTTGGGTAGCTCCTCCATTCTTAAGCACTTGTCTATCTCTAGACGTCAGAATGATTTTACTTCCATTACCAAAATGTTTAACACCCATCCAGTCTACTTGTTCTGAGTCATTAACATCGTAAAGAACAATAATTACTCGTAAATTGTTCAGCCTCTCTATGTAAGGGTACCCTATCGAAGGGGTGTCTATACGAATATCTTTATCCATTAAAAGTATGGAAAGAAATTCATTTCGCACAGATTCCTTCCCTTGTTTTTCTATTTTATCTCTAACATTTTGAAGAAAGTAACAACCTTCAAATGTGGTAGAGACTTCCTTATAAACAGCATCAGCAAGAGTGGTTTTGCCTATACCACCCATTCCCCATAGTCCTATTACTCGACTGTCTTTTTGCTTAATCAGTTCTAGAATCTTCTTTTTTTGATCATCTATTCCAACCAATTCTTCAGAAGCACTTTCAGAATAGCTATTCATCAACTTCTTTAATACATATGCAACGATATCATTAATGTACTCGGTTTCAGATCTAGCAGATAATAAGAAAAATAAAAGTTAAACCAAAGATAAGTGAAATAATAGAAGATTGAGTAAAAGTATATTTACCTGTCAAATTTGCCTCCTTCCATATGCCACCCTTTTAATTTACCGGCTTCAGCAAAGGCAGCTTCCCATCGCTCCACTTCATCAACAGACCTATTTGATTCATGGTCTTCAAATGATGCTTTGAAGCTTCCACCACAATTCCGAACGTCAGAGGGATCAACATGATAAAAGATGGGAAGAACAATTTGACCATGAGTGCTCTTGCGGTCCATGATAACGGAGAGTTCATCCAAGCATGATTTTGAAGTTGCATATTCCTTGGACAAAACGATTATGGAGAGTCTTGAGACTTCAATTGCATGACAAAGCGCTAGTGAAATATACTCCCCTCTTTCCAATTGGTCTTCATCGAAGAAGACACTCATCCCTGTGTCTTTCAAAGCTTTGAGTAGATGAGAGGTGAAGTTAAGACGAGTATCTTCGCCCCTAAAGCTCAAGAAGACTTGATGCTTCATTGGAGGAGAAGAGGAAGAAGAAGCCATGAAAAAATACTGATTGTGTGATTGAAGCAAAAGCGAGAAAACAGCAGGGGAGATTTGCCTGACTTGGCTTGTTTTATTCTGTTCATAAAATAAAGAATAACATCATCATCGCTGTCTTTTGTTGATCGTGAAAGAGAATGGACGCGTTTATTTGGTAAACTGCGCTTCACGATTCTTAATTATACAAATTCAGCATTAGTTTTATTTTTTTAATATATGGTTTAATCCGAAAACGACTTGCAACCTTTCAAAGTCAAAGGTTGACATATTTAGATTCAAATCAAATAAAATTAGTCGAACTGACTAAATTATTTCAATAATTAAAAGAAGTGTTGCTATTCGTACATGTCTCATATTTGAGAACCAACAACTATAAAAAAGTAATTAAATGTTCATTGTTAAAAAATTTAACGTATTTAGATTAAATACTACTTTATAATCATTTAGTTTAATAAAATACAAGATTCAAAGGTTGTCACATTAATAATAAAATACAAGTGAACTGTCATGTCAAAGGTCAAATTGATTAGTTTAATCATCTAACGTGTTAGTTCAGTCATACCAATTCAAATTCAGCAATCTATAAAATAGTGACAGAGGCATGTTAAACTTGTTGAATGTCACAACTAATTTATTCGCTGCTTTGTCGATACGATGGAAGGTGTGAGATTAACTTAAGGCCCTCACAATCATTAATAACCAATATCAGAAGGCTTTAAAACATTATGGAAGGTGTTTCCAATAGTATGGTCGGGTAGGATCGAGTTTTTGTTCCACTCGAAATCGACCAAAATATTGAACTCATCCACCCACCCTCAACTCGACCCGGGTTTAGGAAGATCCTACCCAACCCAAATTTTAAGATAAAAGATTACACCCGACCAAACCTAACTATATATATATATATATATTTATTAGGTAAAATAAGATAAAAATGGAAACTGGGTTTGTGGAAGGAGTTTCGTTGTTTGTCGACAATCTACCATCGGAGTTACGCTGGAAGGGTTTGTGGCAAATCTTTGGTCGTCATAAGGTCGTGAGGAGGGTTTATATTGCATACAAGAGAAGCAGGAGAGGTTCTAGATTCGGTTTTGTGAGAACAGGGAGTATGGATGAGGCGACAGAGTTTACTTGGGTTGGTCCGTTTAATAGAAGCAAATTAGATAGTTTTTTGGTGGATGAAAATTGGTATAATTCCTTCTTGGATGTAAAGGTTATTGGTGATATTAAGCGTCTTCGTTGAAGTGGATAGTCTGGCTAAAGAAATATCTTCGTTGCACTTCGCTTATTCACCGAGTTTGCAGATCGGGATGGCAGACTTTCTAGCAAAGGATGGTTTGAAGCGAGAATTGTTATTCAAAGCATGGTAGTAATTGCGTGTTTCTTACTGTTATGTGTTGTAGAATGTTAACATAGTTCTTGAGTTAGTGGTAGTGTTGATAGTGGTTGAATACAAGAATTTCGAAAGCTGTTTTTGAAGTTGTTGGTCTGGTTTTGTTGTAGTCAGTGAGATCAACCACAAGACATATATCAAAAATCAAGAGTCTGCTCCCACTACTCACACTTGAGCCTATCTTCAAACATAAAGAAGAATTCCATCTATGGGACTCAAATCTATTTGCTGAAATTATGTTTCCCGGAAAACAACAAATAAAATTTGGTATGTAATGGAGCGAGAACTTCTGATCATCTCTTGATGCCCATTTCTCTACTTAGGATTGAATTTGAAGCATCGCATTTGCCTCAATGCTATCAATTGAATCTTGATTCAAGCTGAAGCAATTAGAGAATATCATTGTATAGTCACTTTCAATATCAAAATAATGGAATTTCGTTCTGTGAAGGATAAACTATCTAATGATATGCAGCCATGTGTATTCAAGTGCTTCAGATAATTTGATGGAAGCTCTAAGAGTAATTTGAGGCTCTCGCAATCAGTCATTATCAACTTTTGAAGATTACTTGAAGGGTATGAAGAAAAGGACACTTCTTCAATTTGAGTTTCAGATAAGTCTAAGCAAACATATATTTCTTGGAATAGGTTGTTGGAAAAGTCAAAAAAGGGAGGCAAGGGAGGCCACCGAAAGTGGTGCATTTATTGCACCGAATTCAAGCTGATAATTGTTGAAAATTTTGGCTTGGGAATATTGCACTTTAGTCCCTATACTTAGGGTATTTTCAAAGCTTAGTCCTTAAGCTTCAACTATAAATACCCTTACCCATTTAGCTTCAAAATCATCCCAAATCATTTCTTTCTTCCAATACTAGAGAGCTTTCTTGTGAGTTGTGAGTGTTTTGTAAATACCTATAAATTTTCTTTCTTTAGTAAAAGATCTGCAGCAGTCCGGAGACGTAAGCATAATTGGTTGAACTCCGTTATCAATTTTGGGTATTATTTTTCCGCTTTTATTTCACAGTCTCACTAATCTGGTTATAGGAAAATTACTCGTTTATTTCCCAACAATTGACATCAGAGCTTTTGGTGGTTAATTTTGTTGATTTTTCTGTGAGGTTACTATTCACGTGAATAGAGAATTTCTTGAATAGTAAAATTTGGTCGGTGATACGAATTTGTCGAATGAGGTGTTCTAATACACATTAGTTCGCAAGAATTGTCATAAGCGATCCAAAAGAAGCCAGATTCGAGTGGGAGCGATGGTTACAGACGAAGAGAAGGTAAAAATTGAGAAGTTCGATGGTGCGAACTTTGGCTTTTGGAAGATGCAGATTGAAGATTTTCTGTACCAGAAAAATCTATATCAACCTCTCTCAGAAAAGCAACCAGAGGGAATGAAGAATGAAGACTGGGCTCTTCTCGATAGACAAGCCCTCGGAGTTATCCAACTGACGTTATCCCGCAATGTTTCTTTCAATATAGCAAAGGAAAAAACCATGGCGGGTCTTATGCCGGCTCTCTCCAGTATGTATGAGAAGCCATGGGCCTCAAATAAAGTTCACTTGATGAGGCGATTATTCAATTTGCGGAAGGGGCATCAGTGGCTCAACATCTAAATGAACTCAACACAATCACAACCCAGTTGAGTTCTGTGGAAATTGAATTTGATGATGAAGTTCGAGCTTTAATTCTCTTATCATCTCTACCAGACAGTTGGAATTCTACTGTTACAACTGTCATCAGCTCGTCGGGAAACAGTAAAGTGAAATTCGACGATGTTCGGGATCTGGTATTGAGTGAAGAAATTCGACGGAGAGAATCGGGTGAAGCATCAAGCTCCTCAGCCTTTCACACAGAGTCTAGAGGGAGAACTTCAGAAAGAAATTCAAATCGTGGTAGATCGAAATCCAGAAGGGGAAAATCAAGAATGAGAAAGAAAGATTTTAACTGTTATAATTGTGGCAAGAAGGATCACTTTAAAAGAGATTGTCGAGCACCGAAGAAAGATAACGGCGCTCAGGAATCTGCCAACATGTCAGAGGAGATAGATGATGCCATGATTCTAAGCGTCAACAATCTGATTGAATCATGGATCTTGGATTCAGGGGCATCTTTCCACTTCACCCCATGCCAAGAAATCATGGAGAACTATGTTAGTGGTGATTTTAGGAAGGTTCATCTAGCTGATGATGAAACCTTGAAGATCGTCAGAAAATGAGACATCCGATTAAAGTTGCCAAACCAGACCACCTGGAAGCTGATAGGAGTGAGACATATTCCTGGCCTCAAAAGAAATTTAATTTCTGTAGGACAGTTTGATGGAGAAGGATATAGTACAACCTTTTCAGGCCGTGAATGAAAGATTACCAAAGGATCACTCGTTATTGCTCGTGGTAAGAAGATTGATACTCTCTATGTAACATCAAATTTAGAGAATATCATTGCAATAGCCGATGCTGATGGAAAATCAAACTTATGGAACCAAAGGCTTGAGCATATGAACGAGAAAGTGATGAAGACACTTTTGTCAAAAGGGAAGTTGCCGGATCTAAAGAATATAGATGTCGGACTATGTGAAGATTGCATCTTTGGCAAACAAAAGAAAGATAGTTTTACAAAGATTGGCAAGACACCCAAGGTTAAAAAGTTAGAGTTGGTTCATACTGATGTATGGGGACCATCTCCAGTTCCATCTCTTGCAGGCTCATTATATTATGTCACCTTTATCGATGATTCTACAAGGAAGGTGTGAGTTTATTTTCTGAATAAGAAATTAGAAGTCTTTGATACCTTCAGAAAATGGAAGGTCATGGTGGAAAATGAGACTGGTTTGAAAGTCAAGTGATTGAGGTCTGATAATGGAGGAGAGTACAGAAATAGAAGATTTAGAGAATTTTGCGCAAACAATGGGATCAAGATGGAGAAAACAGTTCCCATGACACTGCAACAGAATGGCATAGCAGAGCGCATGAATAGAACTCTGAATGAACATGCCAGAAGATGAGGATACATGTCGGCTTTCCCAAATTACTATAGGCTGAAGCTATCAACACTGCAGCTTACCTGATCAACTGTGGGCCCTCAGTTCCCTTGGATGGTGGAATACCATATGAAGTTTGGAGCAAGAAATAAATAAATCTTTCACACTTAAGAGTGTTTGGTTGTATTTCTTATGTACACATAAATTCTGCTGAAAGAAGTAAACTTGATGCCAAGTCCAACAAATATGTCTTTGTTGGTTATGGTGGTGATTAGTTCGGTTACTGATTTTGGGACTATGAAAATCGAAAGATCATCACAAGCAGAGATGTCATTTTCAATGAGAATGTGATGTACAAAGACAGACCAACCATAGAATTCAAGTAGCTCCAATACCGAAGCTGAAACAAAGGAATTTGCTAAGTTTGAGGAGATTTCTGGAAATGATGTTCAGATCAGTCCTGAAGCAGTTCAAGAAGAACCAGGCACACCAGAAATGAGACGCTCCTCCATAATTAATAAACCAACCCAGCGTTATTCGCCTTCTTTGCTTGCTGACTAACAATGGTGAACTAGAGTGATATGATGAAGCAATACAGGTGGAGGATTCAGTCAAGTGTGAGTC